TTATGGGAGCCTAGGACTAATTTAGTCTACCGGAGTTTTGAATTTTTGAGTCATTCACTATCTGTGACTTGTTCTAGAGCTTGGATGGAGGACTGAAAACATCTCCATTTACTATTTACATAGTTAGGATGGTATAGCAGATTGAATAGGAGTCTGGGAGCCAGGAGTTCCTAAAGTCTAATACCACCTGTGCAACTCACTCACTGTATGGCTTGGGGTAATTACTTACTATGTAAGTTTCCCATCTGTAAACTGGGATAGTAATACTGATCTTTCAATATACGGCCTGATTCTCCACTGCTCTGTACCTTGTATAACCATTTATACCTGTGCAAATGTGAATGTAAAACAGTCATTCTGATTTAGCAGCATTTTACATCAATTTTCCACAGGTGTAAATGACTATACTAGATGCAAAATAGTGGAAAATCAAGCGTGTAGAGTGCTTTGTAAATGTTAAATATTAAATTAAATACTAAATATCAGTCGAGTCAGATCCTTACGGTATAAATCACTGTAGCTCCATTGAAGTCAATGAAACTATGCTGATTTACACCAGCTGAGGATCAGGGTGTTCCCTAATGCCTCTGTGATACAACAACATGTTTTTAAGTTTACTTACAGTTAACACATTCATTGACAAAACTGATCTTTTCACAGTTTGCTATTCTTTATTCCAAGAAAGGAGGCTGGATACAGTTAGTAGTAGTAGTAGTAATTTGATCACATTTTTCTAGTTATGTGAAAACATTGGCAAAAACAAGACTGGATTAAGGCAGGAATATTCCAAGTGGAAGGGCCTATGTTTATAGAAAGAATCTATAAACATAGGCCCCTCCACTTGGAATCTTCCTGCCAGACTTCTAAGATGGACCTTTGTTTTCACTCACACCTGAGTCCTGGCTCTTTCCGGTAAGTAGGTAGCCCAGTCCAAACTCCCATTCAACCTTGTGCTGCATCACAGCCTGATGCTCTCCCTCTGAGACACTCGTGTTTTCTGGCCCTGGATCCCAAGGATTCTGCCTTAAGCTTCCCCGGCCAAAATGTTTTGAAAGTCCTAACTCCCTATACCTCACTTCAGACTGGGAGTGAAATTCTCCCTTATGGAGAGGACCATCAAAAGGCCTGTGCATATCTGAAACCCCAATTTTGAGGATTTAAATGGGATATAAGCGATGTGTAGGCCATGGGTTGGCTTTCTGCATAGGACTGAATAAACCACTGGTTTTTGTCAGTTCATGTCTATTTTTATTGTCTAATGATGGAGACAATTTCCACTTTTTTTTTTTAAGAAAAAATTTGTGACTTGAATGAAGTGTCACATAATAGGATGCATTCATGAAATAAATATGCAGTGTTTTTTTTAACATTCCTGTTTTATGTTTCTCTGATATGCTCTCTACTGAAAACTATCTTGTCCTTGTTTTGCAGGTTGGATCTATGACATCACACAAAAATATGATTTTTCTTTTTACATATGCGGTTTGCTTTACATGGTAGGAATAATCATTTTACTCATCCAACCTTGTATTCAAAAGAAACCATCAAAAGACCAACCCACTGATAACACAAAAGTATAGTTCAATTTATGGAATGTTTTGAAAAGTATGTATTAGGTTCATATCTCTGTTATATAGCAGTACAAAATTGTTATTCTTATAAGACCAACTGCATTGAAGAGTATCACAGTGAATAATGAATGAGCTGCAAAGTGCTGATATTAAATAATTAGTGGAAATGTGCTTGTAAAAGCAAGTTTACTGTCACACTTACGATTCTTGGCTTTAGAACTGTCTCTTTAACAGATACAGATGTTAAGAGCTTTCCAGATGCAATATCACTATTTTTATATTTGGTCAGTGGTTGAAACATTCGTTTTGATTCTTAACTCATGTACAAAAGTTTTACACTGATGAAACTATTGACTGCAATGCAGTTACTGCTGATTTACACTGGTGTGAGAGAAGAATCAGGCCTCACATGAATACTTTCCTACTCTATATTCCAGCTGATCAGAAATTTGTTGTTGAACACAAGAAAATGGTTACATTTCTCATCCAGCTACGCACGTGTGTCACTACAATACTAATAATAATTCAATGATACACATAATTTAATATATTTAAAAGAATGTTTCTGTGATATAAAATTGAAAATTTCTTATATTTTTCTGAAAGCACTCTCTAGTCCAAGGAACTCTTTTTGATGTTTTGATTGCAGAACAAATTATCCATTCTCAGCTCATGCGAGAAATGATAAATGAGGTACTTAAATATATTCTGATACCAAACAGCACTGAAAGTAAAACAAACAAAACAACAAAAACTGTGGAAGGATGGGGAATATTAATGGAGTTCTGCAGCAGAAAGGATAGGCAGCAAAACTAGATGATTTATTGCAAAAGTCTATTAGAATAGTTAATACATTCAGGTAGAGTTTATGAGCCTCCCAGTTCTGATCTCAGTGTAGCCAGAGTCAACTTCAGTAGTTATTCCTGATTTACACTGGTGCAACTGAGAACAAAATCTGGCCCTTCCTATTATTCTAATTCTGTTTGCATTAGTTTTATACCTGTAACTACATTGGGCCAGACCCAATATATATTGGCATAGGTCCATTGACATCAGTGGAGTTATTCCTGATTTACATCAGCGTGAGATCAAAATCAGATCCTGTGTGCTTAGAGCAAGGCTTTGGAAGACTGAACTTGACCCTACTCTGGTTGCATTTTATTACCATACAGAAAGGGCAGGTCTACACTATAGGGGAAAGTTGATCTAAGCGCTGCAATTTTAGTTATGTTAGTAACGTAACTCAAGTCGAGGTAGCTTAGATCTACTTATTGCAGGGTCCACACTAGGCTATGTCGATGGGAGATGCTCTTCCATCAACTCCCCTTACTCTTCTTGTTACGGTGCAGTACTGGAGTGGACGGGAGAGCGATCTCCGGTCAGTTTAGTGGGTCTTCACTAGACCCGCTAAATCGACCCCCGGTGGCTCGATCGCTGCAGCGTCGATCCACTGGTAAGTGGAGACAAACCCAAAGAATTTTCCTATGTGAGAACAACCCATTTAATAACTTCCTCTAGCTGATTTGTTGTAACGGATGTCTGAGATCTGAGACAGCTACCAATACTCTGTTATAGCATGTCCAGTTTCCTAAGCCTGATACTTTGCAGGTGAAACATCTTATCAAGGATTTCTCAGACTGGAGGATGCTTCCAGAAAAAGTTTGAAGTTCCTGGCTACCTTACTTGTTTACACAGTTTACAATTGTAAAACATTTGTATTGCAATCCTTCTTCAGTAATTCATTGTTTAACCTAAATAACCAATTTCTCAGGGATAGAACTTGAGAACATTGGGTGAAGCTGGCCAAAAGTATGTATTTAGTTTTAGAAACAGTTGCATGGAAGACAGCATATATTTTATTGAAATTTATTTCAACACAAAAGTTATTAAATTACGACTAATTGTGTTGCAATGTAAGAGCACAACATTCACTATGTAAAACTGATCATATTTTTTCAGTGCTGTTTTTACTTGCTGTAAAATTAGCTATGTAATGCAAATCATGGAAAAGATAAGTGTTTTAACTATTTAAGTGCATTGCCTTGTTTTTTTGACAATATTAAATAACAGAGGGACAATACAGAATGTTTGTATGGTGCTACATTAATATTTCCCATGCTTTGAGAGGCACAACTTGTGATGTAGTGCCTATATTAACTACAAAGTGTCATTTTATTTTCTGGGTTTAAGCTTTATAAAGATTATTTTTGTCATAAATGAGGTTTCTGCTTTAATATTGTTGTATGCTGCTGGAATTTATTGAAAACAATTTGTGGTATCCAAATAAACAGAACAAATAAGGGGAAGTTATGAGACCAACATCAATTCTTTAAGTGCAGGTTCAATGTCTTGTTTAGTGGGAATGCTGCTGATCGTTTATTTTAATCAAAGTGACTTATTTTGTTGGGTGATTATATATATGGAAATGGTGATCTTCCATCAATTTCCTTCTTTTTTAAAAAAAAGATATGTGTCTTTTATACTTCAAACTTCACTTTTCCATTTGTCCAATTGTTTTTATTTCCACATTACCGTAATGAATTAAATGTTGTTCTTTTAAGATATCTGCATATGTCTTTCTATAGAGCTTCTTTTTCTTTTGGTTTAACTGGATCATGTAATGAGAATAAACTTTATATTATAAAATATTTTAAGATTTTTTCCTTTTTTAACTATGCACTTTTTCATTTTAAAAGTAAAGATACTCCTGCAAAGTAAGGGATATATGATTCTCCTCACCTCTGCAGAGGGGACAGAAACCTGGTTGATCCAGGAAGTGGGGAGATGGCCATTCTTGGCATCATCTCCCCCTCAATCCAGCATAATTACCAATTTAAATGAATGTTGAATTTAGGTGTCTTCTCCTTTCATAATCTGAAACCCTCCTCTTCCCCTGCCCCAGCAGATTCTGGGAGCAGAAACTGCCAAGGAAATCCAGGGAAATCTAAATCCATTGGCACTAAGCTTTCATGAAGATGAGGAAAGAAGCTCCATTGTTGAGTAGCTAAGCTCATGCACTGCAGTTCTTTATAAATTCCTTTTTTATTTTAGAGTTGCCCTATGAGTGTTTTATTCTTCAAGGACAGGAATCTTGTAAATATAGTATCTTTAAATAAAATCACGTAAGCCCTGATCCTACAAATTTATGGACACAATGAATTTATAAATGTAAATACTCCCAGTGACTTAAAGTGGACCACTCACATGGATAAAGTTAAGAATGTGCTTCAGTGTTTGAAAGGTTCAGGGCCTTCTTCCTAACGCTCTTTACTATTAGCAAAATATTTAGGCGATATCTGTATATAATTCCAGTGCAAAGTAAATTTACTCAGATTAGCACATTTCTTCTAAAATTTGAAGTACTACTAGAATGACATTCAGAAAAAAATATGAAATAAGAGAAAATATATTTTAGACTATCTGAATAAATCACTTTGTAGAATCTAAACTTTTATTTCTTAATTACCAGTTTACAGTAGATTTACATACTGCATTTTTAATACTTGACATTTAAACCAGTTTTTAAAAATAATGGGCCAGATCCTCAGCATTGAAGTCAATGGAGCTACACAGATTTGCACCACTTGAGAATCTGGCCCAAAGAGAATATGGCATTTGTTCTAAAGTAAATAATAATATAACAAAAGTAACTAAAGATTGTTAAAAAAAGGTAAAATATTCCTCTGGCAAACTGTTGGCAAGTAAATAGCTTTATAGCATGAATATGGTCACATTTATCTATAAGCTCCAAGGGTATACCATACATTTCATGTTTCACAAAGATTAGAAAAACTTCCATAGAATATATATTTAATACCATTTCACTTTGAATGGTGACCTTGGAGAAGGGGGAAAATGGTGAAAAATTGGCACTAGATATAAAGAATAACAACTTATTTTATGTTTAATATAATGATAATACAAGGCTTCATCAATAAAGAATAACACACCACCCTGTAAAATTAGAGAAGTTAAAGATCAAAACTTGTCTAACTGCCTTTCATGCTATTGTAATTAGCGCCTTTTACACTTAGTTTGATCATTTACCAGTGCGTCAGTCACTCTGATGGCCATACTCAGATTATTGTATAAATTGTTAGTGGCATTTGGTCAGGATTAAGTTCCTTATATCTATACTTACTATAACCAAAATATACATGGCTCTACTAAAACATTTCAAATAATCAGCTACATATTTAAGGGCCCAATCCCAGTAACCCTCTCTCACAAGAGTAGTCCTTAGTCATACAATAAGACAACAATAAGTAAGTCTTGGTTTCAATAAGAATACTTTTGTGAATAAGGACCATTTGCATTATAAAAGTTTGTGTTGTAAATAAAACTAGGTCACCTTGAGAATTTTGGCTTTACTTGGGAGCCTAAAACTAATCACCTAAATCCATATTTAGGCACCTAAACAAAATGACCTGATTTTCAGAGGTACTGAATACTATGAACTCACATCAGCATCAGCTCAACACATAAAATAAATCAGGCCACTTTTTAGTGAATTCAGGTAACTAACTTTAGGCATTCCAGTGCAACCATATTGGCCTTAATGTTTTGTGATGTTATCATTAGTACAGTGCCAAATCCTGCAGGCCTTACTTAGGAAGACTCTAACTGAAGTTTGTGGGAGTTAGCTGAGTAAATCATGTAGCTTTTAGGCCATTATATGGAAAAAATGCAAGCATTGGTATAAATGCTCAATATTTAAACCTAGTCAATAACACATGGTAGACACTAATTAATAATTTAAGGCTATTAATACTTGACCTCTGGATTGTTGAAGTTAATGTTGTAATTAACAACAATTAAGATGAAATTCTAAGCTATGTAAAATATTTTCTTAATGGATTTGTCAGCTCTGTTTGGTAGGAACATTACTGATGTGCTACAATGCAAAGAGCCAATAGTAAATATTATTTTATAATTGAAAATATACTTAAGTGAATGTAGACCTCATCAAAGGTACCAGAGTCACAACACTGGCACAACACTAGTCCATTATCATCAAAATTTCCTGCACAGGCAGAAGCAGTGAAAATTTCACCCATATACCATCCTTCCAGTGTTCCCAAACCATGACCTGAAGCAGCTGTCTGAAAGGAAGAGGGTAGTTTGGTATACATACCCATTCAGTTCTTGGTCTCTAATGATGTTTCCCCTTAATGACAGAGTGCTGATTGGCTTATTTGTTTGAAGTTTAGACATCTAGACTACAGAGGATGTTCACTAATTTTAAAACCACTTTAATGAAGGTCAAATTTTGGACCCCAGATACACATTGGTCACCTTTTAACATTTCACATTTGCCATGGTGGCCAGTAAACAGTCAGCATTTACCAATCATCTTGTTTCTGCCTCCTTCTTCGGAGCTGCAGCTGAAGCTGAAGCTTGTTTGTGAAGAAGAACTGCTTCCAACCCACTTCCTGTGCCAGTGCTCTCATTTCAGGAGTAATTGCACCACACAAATTCTGCACAATTTTCTCCCACAGTGTGTCAGAGTTGCATATCTATTTATAAGAGAAAGTAGGCAGGGTTATTCTGATTTAAACAAATATAACCAGACATATTCAATGTTTACTGACCGTTTGGTTTGCAAAAACCCAGCATAGGGCAACACAGCTCGTATATTAAGTTAGCTTTATATATAAGAATGAGATCTTTTGGGAAAAAATCCTACAGACCATTTTCAGGTAAACTTACAATAACTTCAGTACCAGTTTTGCCCTAGTAAGGACTGAGTCCAGGTTGTAGGATTTGACCCTTGTTATATGTCTTTGTTGGTCTTGTACATGGTATTATATATTCTGTAAATTATTGTCATGGTTTTTTTCAGTATAATGAGTTCAAAAATATTTTCTCCATCTGGGCCACATTGTCTGCTGATATATATTGGCACAGCTCCACTGAAATCAATGGAACTGTGCCAGTTTATACCAGAAAATTTGGCCCATGTTATTTACAAATCATATTACAGATATATATGCATGTGTTTGTGGAAAAGAAAAAGGGCCAAATCTATTTATTTGTGGTGTTATACTATCAGACTCTCTGGATTTACATGAGATTAGCTTGGCCCTATGCAACTGAAAGAAGCTTTCACAAGAATTATGAGCTATTCAGTTCTGGAGATGGATTGTGATTCTTGGGTGATGCTTCCCAGTTTTGAATGCCTGCATAAACAGAATGGTGTGGAAACAATCATATTCACCATTATAGCATAAGCAGAAAGAGAAAATGAAGTTTTTTTTCAAGTTTGATACAACCATCATAGAAGAGTAATTATTAGGAAGATTGGGTGCATCAGTATAATCATTATATCCAATCTTTAAAATAAGTGATCTTGAAAGATATTGAATCTGATTCTTCCCTCACACAAGTTTTACAATGGTTTTATTGGTACAACCTCTCTGTAGTCAATGGAATTGCACTGATGTAATGCTATAATTTGGTCCCAATATCTGTTCCACTGCTGAGCGGTGGTGGTTATATTACCACATGCTGGGTTGTCTGATCAAAATGGGAAGACAGGGATCATGGGAAATACTGCTTCAAATACTGCTGAAAGAAGAAAAAGGGATGAATTTTAAAAGCTTTCCTAAAATTTCTGATTGTTATATTTCTCTGGTCTGTTGTGCCTAGAAAATTGGTAATTGTATTAAATTGAAAATATTGAAGACTATCTTTTAGTACTTCATACGCAATATATAAAACATACAGTGCAAATATCAATTCAATATTATTGTTTTCTTCTTTCATAATGGATTTCAGAATATATAACACAACAGCCAGCTTTCAGTGTTAGAAACTTTGGTGAGATTATGGTCTCTATTACAGTGGCTTAAATCTGAAGTAACTCCCAGAACTCATGGATTTACACTAGTTTTACACCAGTGTTAATGTGAGCAAAATCAGACTCTATAGTTACAGAACATCAGAAATGTTTATCTTCAGGTTTTCATTGTGGATATAGCCCCCTCTGGTGGTTATTTTAGTTCATAGAAAGATAAGTAACAATTTTTACAATTAAAATAATTGCATTTATAGAACCATTTAAAATCCACAAATAAGGTAAATCTAAGAAATCTACTGAGCCGCTGATGGAAAATACCATGTTATGTATTTCAGTAAATACTGATATTTTGAAAAACTCGCAGTGCTTGAGTGGTGGTATTCAGAGTAAGGCAACTGCAGTCATTCCTTACTTGATTATATAAAACAGATTCTTTTACACTGTCTTTGTTTTAAAATATTACACAGTGAAAATACAAAAGTAAAAAATACTTTGAAACTGGCATTGGAATAAACCTAGATACTAAATTCTGGACAGAAAAACATGATGAGATTTATGCTTAGAATTAACTGGTGAGAGAAGAAATAAACACGTGAGTATGCGAGTAAATAAAGGTGAACATATTTAAAAGTGTAAGAATATTTTTGCTGATAGTCTGGGTCTTTGGCAAGAACAGGAAATAGAAGATGGACTGTAATAATAATGGGATGGAGAGCAAAAGATGGCACACAGCAAGAACCAGTAGTAGCAAAACTAGAGATTATCTAGGAGTCTTTGCAGGATACTTGTGGCCATGATACTTAGCCAGAATATTTGGTAAGGGCTGGAAATGAAAGGATGCAGCTACCTATTTCTTTAATTTATCTTTGAAAGGAAGAAAAAAAGTTTGGGTTGATAATATGGTAATGAAAAAGGGCCCTGCTGTGCATAGGCACCAACTTCTGCTGGCGCCGGTGGGGGCTCGTGCCCCCCCGGCCCCGCCCCAACTCCACCCTTGCCCTCATTCCAGCCCCTTCCCCAAAGTCCCCACCCCAACTCCACCCCCTCCCTTCTCCTATTGGACTCCTTCCCCAAATCCCCACCCCAGCCCTGCCTCTTCCCCGCCTCCTTCCATGAGCGCGCTTTCCCACAGCTTGTTACGCCGCGAAACAGCTGTTTTGCAGTGGCAACCGCTGGGAGGAGAAGTGGGGACGGTGCGCTCAGGGGAAGAGGTGGAGGCGGAGGTGAGCTGGGGCAGGGGGCTGCCAGTGGTGCAAAGCACCCACCAATTTTTCCCTGAGGGTGCTCCAGCCCCGGAGCACCAACGGAGTCTGTGCCTATGCTGCTGTGTCCTGCAAGGATCCATGGTTGGGAAAGAAATGATAAATAACTTACTACGATCTTGCAGCAATAGCAGTCTTTTCATTCCCTTGAACACAAGGACTGCTCCAGTTTAGTGCTCATGGTCTATGTTTCCTCCTCAGAGAAAATGAGGGGCAGAGTCATGGCACTGCCCGAGCCCTAATCACTGGGGCCAGTGATCAGGACAGTCCGGCAGGGGTAGTCAACAGGCAGACCGTGAGCCAAATCCAGAGTGCCAGATGCTTTTGAACAGACCCAAACATCTTTTTATTTATTACTTATTATCATCATTATTGGATTTTTTTATTATTATTTTCTATGGAGTCTGGATTTTGACTATACCTTGACCAAGGAATTTGGACCGTGACAAAAAAAAAATTGACTATCCCTGGTTGCTCAGTTCAAGTATTGCACAGCAGCCATGTTCACCCTCCACTCCTGGAGGCACTGTATGTACATGAGGCAAAAGCCTCCTGAAGCTTTGGTTGGGCTGGTGAGTCTATTCCATTGCCTCAATTGCATGCTCCACTTTATGGTCATAACTGAACCCAATCTCCACAAAAATATTAGCATAGTTTAGAAATATTATTTCCCCTCAGTTGAGATTCTGAGAATCCAAAAGGTGAAAAAGAAAGGTTTACTTTGTAAAAGACCTAAATATACTTGATTATATGGTCAATATTACATCATGCACTCACTATCAGAGTGCCTCTTCATGTCAGTTCACAATGTTGCAGAGACTCATCCTCTTTAGTACCCTCTTGTGTCTTGCATCTGCAATGGTCTGCCACCTCCATGGCCTAACCCTCTGGGTCAGCTCTCAGTCCAGTCCAATAAGAAACCATATTAAACGTGAAAACAAAATAATCACATGGATGTTAAAGTCCATAACATAAACACTAGTCATAGAGAAGGACTAGTGTTTATGTTATGGACTTTAACATCCAAGGTCAATGTTGTCAAGGCTAGGCCCCTGGCTAAGCCAGGCTTCTTGGGTTAGGACACTGAAGATTATCTGGCTGCAAACTGGCCCAATAAAACTAGTCAGTCCAAACCAAATAGCCCTGTCCTGGCTTCACTCAGAACTGGTCCCTAGTAAAAGCTGCCAACCCTTTTCATCTGGCCTACTGGGCTTTGATTGGCCTCCGCCTGCTCCCGGCCCTTCTAGGTACCGGAGGACCAACTCTCACTGGTTGTGTTTGCAGCGGATCATGAGACACCACTCCAGGCAACCTCTGGAGGTCTAAACTCACTACTCTTCCCTTCCAGCATGGTACCCTCTTAGGGGAGGGTGAGCCAAGTTGGTGGGGCCGCTGGCAGGGGCAGCAAATACTTGGCAAAACCCCTCATAGTTCCATATAATAAAGCACTCCACACCACAAGTGAATTAGCCTAAAGGCATAAGAATGCAGCATTATGGTCAATACTTAACTTTTGAATATGGTTGATTTTGAAAACAACAATACTGATAATTTTGTACTGCTAATTGTAATTGATATTACGACAAATTCTAGCCTCAGCTGCATCATCATAAGCCCACTGACATCAGCAGGGTTGCATGGGTAATTTTCTTTAAAATATTTCTATGATTTCTTTAAAGTTGAGACTATCCATTAAGAATGCTTTTGTAATACACATGAGTGTATTATCCTCCATGGAGCCTGATCTTGCACTGCTGAACCTGTGCAATGACAGCAAGATCTTAAATATTCTATGGGTCCAATCCTTCAAATACTTAATACTGTACTGGGAATAGTGCTTATTACCTGAATAATCTTAAAGAGACACATGTGTAAAGGATGCATGTGTTAAAAGTGAACTAAATCAGGAGAATTTGCCAAAGCAAAACTAATACTTAAAATAAGTTGTAAATGTTTTTTACCGTTTTAAATCTGTGTGAAACTTGAGAAAGCCTGGCAATATCTTCAAGCTCCAGAAAGGAAATGATGTACAGGAGCAATGGGTCAGGAAGCCGTTCCAGGAAGTCAAAGTTACCCCGGCACAGATTGAAGATATGTTCCAGAATGTTGGCACCAAAAACTACAGCAATTTGAACTGTGATTCAAAGAAACCCAACAAAGAAAGAGATTTGTAAATGCCTTTATATTCCCTCCCAATGTATAGGGATAATCTTACATGTATCGTCAAAAAACAGAACAACTCCAATTTAAAAGGTAAGCAGATACATTTCTGGAGGTTTTCTAGATAAACACTTACAATTCTGAAAACCCTTAGCATTAATAATATAAAATATAATATTCTAAGTTTGTTCCACGTACAGAGCTACCACAGACATCAATAGGAGTCTTACATAGCATAGGATATGGCTCAAAATTTGGACATTGACCAGCATAGTTCTAACTCTTCTCTGCTCACTGTTGAACATTGATGTCAGCAAAGCAGCAGCAACAAGACTTAACTGAAACTTGTCCAATACCATTTTGCGCAGGTAAGAGATATTGAATACAAGTTTTTTATATTGTGCTATACGCTAATGCAGTGTTTCCCAAACTTGGGATGCCGCTTGTTTAGGGAAAGCCCCTGGCGGGCCGGGCCGGTTTGTTTACCTGCCGCGTCCGCAGGTCCAGCCGATCACTGCTCCCATTGGCCTGGAGCAGGGAACCGTGGCCAGTGGGAACCATGATCGGCCGGTCCTGCGGACGCAGCAGGTAAACAAACTGGCCCGGCCCGCCAGGGGCTTTCCCTAAACAAGCGGCGTCCCAAGTTTGAGAAACACTGCACTAATGAGTAGATTTAGAAAACAATGAAAATTGCATTCATCTTTAAAATGGTTCAAACTTTGCACTTTTGGTGCATCCTTCCTGTGTTTCTTGTTTTAAATATTTGTTCTTCAAAAAACAAAACATGTTCTTGAATGTGCTATTGTTTATTTAATTTTAATATGCATCTTTATTAGTGACCTGTAGTACATTTTGGAGTTGTGTTTTGTTTAAGATCTAATTACAGGAGCTCTGTAATTTAGATTTGGACAGGGATATGTTCACAGTGGGCTCCCTTTTCATTTCAAAACAAAGCTGTTTTATTTACAATTAACAAATTATTACAAATCCAAACTAGTTTTCCTCACAATTGAGCTATAGTTTTACTAAGTGAGGAGTGGTATATATATCTTCTGGCATATGTTATACTCACAAAAAGATACAAATAGAATAGTGGAAGCTAAGACATGGAAAAGGCCTGAAATTTAATCCATAATCTGCCAATGTAGGAATTTTCCTTCCAGTATATTTTAAAGTATTTTGTCTAGGCTAACTTTAAATTATGCAAGCTATGAGGCGTTCATAATTCTCTTGAAACATTCTTCTAAAAATCCAGCAGATCTCACTATTAAGATTTTTTTTTTTATATTCAGACTAATTCTCTTTCTTAATTGCATTCCTTAATTTCTACAGTACTTATGCCCCTTTGTACCATCTCACATAATTCCTTTTCTTCTGTGGTGTTTACATCCTCTTTTAATACTTGTACACAGCTATGTCCCTTTTTGCTGTTATTTAACACACAGTCCTTTCAATCTTTCCTGCTAAATCAATCCCTCCAGTTTTTTAATTTTGTTTTATTCTTCTCTGAATTCTCTCCACTTTGCCTATATGATCCTGGTACTAAGGCAACTAGCAGCAAATGCAGTACAGTAGGACTTCAGAATTACGAATACCACAGTTATGAACTGACTGGTCAACCATACACCTCATTTGGAAGTATAAGTATGCTATCAGACAGCAGAGACCCCTTACCCCAACAAAAGCAAATACTGTACACTACAGTACTATGTTAAATGTAAACTACTAAAAAAATTAAGGGGACATTTGAAAAAAGATTTGACAAAGTAAGGTAGCTGTTTCTGTCCTTGTTTCATTTAAATTAAGATGATTAAAAGCAGCATTTTTCTTATTCATAGCAAAGTTTCAAAGCTGTATTACATCAATATTCAGTTGTAAAATTTTGAAAGAACAACCATAATGTTTTGTTCAGAGTTACGAACAACCCCCATTCCAAGGTGTTCATAACTCAGAGGTTCTACTGTATTCTGTGTGTGCTCTCACCATAACCATATAAAGGGGGACTATCGCCTTCCTGCTCTGTCATGTCTGAGTAGACAGCCCAACATTTCATGAGATTTTTTTTTACTGCATATCACATTGCAAGCTCTTGTCTAATTTGCAGTGCGCTATCCCCTATAGATAACTCTTTGCTTTGCTGCTTTCCAAATACTTCAGTCCCATTTAATATCTGTGATTTGGATTACCTTCTCCCAATGCTATTGTTTTGCATCTGCTCAGTTTTAGGGCAAAATCTTGTCCTGACTTCATATAGCTGTTCTGTGGTCTAGGAATGGATTGGTGCTTGTTGCTCACTATCCTGAGAGCTATCCTTTCAATGCAGGCCCTGCATGACTGCTCCAGCTCTATGTCTCCGAGCAGCACACCATGGGGCTGAGAGTCTTGTGTGGGCCCTAATTACATATTTTTGTTACTAAAGCAGCAAAAATATAAGATTAAAAAGATTCTACATGAAAAAAATATTTTTCTACAACAAAAAATATTAATTCCTTTTTACAACTCAACTAACATTCTATCTGCTCCTGCGAAAAAAGCTACTATTGAGCTACAATGTATTCAGGAAAGGGAAATAAAAAGAGAGAGAAAGAAAGAGAGTTGCTTCAACTGAAGACAAGGTAAGGGAGGCTAGGCTACAATGGTATGGGTATATCCAGCAGAGACATGCAAGCTATGTCAGTATGATGGTTCTTTCAATGATCATGGATGGAATGCCATCAAGGGTGATACCAAAGACTCAGTACATAGAGCGGATATCAAAGACCAATTTGCACAACAACCTGGCATATAATCAAGAGTTTTGGAAGAAGGCTATAAAAATCACGGACCTTGAATAAGGGAAGTACAAAAAAGAAGAAAAACAAGAAAGAGAAAGAGATTCCTTTTGTAAAGTATTTTTAGAATACCTAGAAGAGTTTTTGAAACAGAAAGTTGTGCCCAGATCAAAGAATAGCTGGAAAAAATTTCTGTTCACTTTTGTGCTGTATGTCAAGGGAAGCTATTCTGTATAAAAATAATTTCCCTTTAACAAAGGCCTGCGGTCAAGCCAGTAAATGTTCTGGTTCTTGACTATCAATAGACTGGAGCATGATTTAAATATCAACATTTGCAGTGGAAGTCTTATTGATAATGCTAAACATACTGGTTGTGAGGGATCAGGGATCTTGAACCTAGGTCAGTGGGTCCTCAGGCAGTCCTCATACTTCAGCCACCACCCAGCAGCTTGCTGGTAACAGCAGGGATTGTGGACTAGTGGACCTAGCTCACCATAGGCACAAAGCTCCCAGTGGGAGGAAAAGTCTGGCTTTGACCATTGGCTTGATTCCCAACTCTGTCTCGGACACTGACCTCCAGTTCCTGGAGCCTGATTCCTGCTCTAACCACTAGTCCTGACCATCATTCCTCTGACCACCAGGCATAATCGCCTATGTCCTGGTCTACGACAGTTTGTTCAGACCACCAACCCCTCCGAGTCGGGTCCAGCCAGGTATGGACCTAGTGGAGTTCCCCTTAATCCAAGAAGCACTGGCACTCCATGAGCAGGTTCCCCACCACCAGACAGACAACCAAGTTGTTCAGGTGCAGATCACAGAGCTGGTTGCCAAGAATCAGGCACTGCAGGGGGAAGTCCATCAACTCTGTGCAAAGAACAATGTGCTCTGGGCCCTGTTGGCTCTATCAGCCCCTGAGCTAGGACCTGTCATCCTCCCCCTACCAGAGTGTGTGTGTGTGTGTGGTGGGGGGGGGACTCCAGTGGGGGATTGTTCCAAATTTTGAGGTTTTGTGAACCAGTTGTGCCTCTTGTTCTTGCTTCACTCTCAAATATACTTGTCAACCAACCAAGGTAGGCCTAGTTGTCAGCCTGCTGACTGGTGAGGCATTGAACTAGGCCTTCCCCCCTGTTGGAGACCAGCAGTCTGGTGCTATCTAGCTAGGACACTTTCCAGAGAGCAATATCAACCATCTATGGTGATCCCTATGCTCTCTCTGCCAAGGCCACCTTGTAGAAATTCCAAGAAGGGTCAGGCACGGCTATTTCCTATGCAGCACACTTCTGCGGTCTCATATCGGACACAGAGTGGAATGAGGCAGCCCTACTGTTTCAGTTCCAATGGGGCCTGTGGAACGAGATCAAGGATGAGTTGGCCAAAGTCTGAAGGATCTGGGTGCCTTTATCAATCTTGTCATCTGGATTGACAATCTGCTTTGTGAGTGGTGGGAAGAAAGAAGATGGGCAGGGTTGGAGCTGCACCCACCACTATTGGGTCCTGCTCCACAAGCTGAGACAATGCAGGTCGACCTGGCCCACCTACTGCTCATGCCTGAGAAAAGGGGGCATCGGTGATGTTTTAGCCTGTTCTTCTAATGTGGTGGACCAGGTCACTTTATCTCTGATTGTGCCACTAGGACACCAGACTGAAGAGACCCAGGAAAACAAGCCAGCCCAGGCCCAGTAAAGGGGGCTGATCTGAACACTTTGACAAAATGTTCCACGTGTCTAGAAACATGGTCCTATCTGTAATGCATGCTGAATGCCATCAACCAACACCACATGTCCCAGGGTGCTGCCTTCCAATCCCTCCACCGCAGGCCCTCATTGACTCCGGTGATAACTTTATTGACCTGGATGCAGTCTGGACCCTGCAGATTCCCCTAAGGCCCAAGCCTATTCCAGACCTAGTAGATACAACTGCCAGGTCCCCCTATCCTGCCGGCCAGTGGTCACAGAGATTGTGCCCCTGCAGGTCACCATCCAAGGGCATTGAGAGATGCTGCAGTTTAGGGCCATTTGCGCCTTTCATTTCCCCCTGATCCTGGGTATTTCCTCCCTAAACTTCTCATTCACTGGCATGAACTAAAGGGTCAGTTTCTTTTCAGAATATTGCTGGCAGCACTGCTTGACCCCAGGAAGTACAGAGCACACAGTAGAACCCCAACCATCACAAGCCAGTTGTTGGTCCAACAGACTCATTCACT